TGTAGCCCAAAAACGAAAGATTCAAATATCCCGACCTCCCTACCGTCACGTAACCCATATCTCGACGACAGAGCCACGGAGTGATCTCCCTTCCTCAAACCTTTTTTATGGAGCACAAAGACAGCCGGGACGAGGAGGCAAGGGGAGGAATACATGGTGGACTCCATAAAGTTATGGTAAATGTTACATCATGAAAATTGAAACGGTTCCCCGGGAAACAAAATTCTGAGATGGGGAAACCTCCGACTTTTCTCTGGAAGGAATAACAACGATATGGGAACACCCATGAGCTGTCCCCCGTCGCTGTCCTGGCCGAGACATACCCTCCAAAGCAAAAGTAAACAAAGTTTACAAGTAGAAAACACGGGATTGAATTTCACCCGTCACATAAATCCGAAACGGTGAAATTAATAACGTTTGCCGAAACAAACAACCGTCACTGAAATAAACAGAGGTCGGAAATTTGCACACATAATGGCGGATCGCGATAATTCAAATGTACACATCTGCTTAACAATTAAAATACGTATCTATTACTTGGGGAATTATTTACATTTCGTATACGTCTCTAGAGAAAGTAATTTTTTGTTCATCCTTATACGCAATTAATATACGTATGTAGTTTCAGTCTATATACGCAATTTGTAACTAATCTATGCCCATTTCGTATACGTATCTATGTACTTAGAGAAATTAATTTAGTTTCATTATATCATAATATCCATATCTTATCTATATATTATAGATATATATAATTAAAGTATTAATTTCTTTTCATTCTTATACGCAATTGGTACCTAATCTATGTCCATTTCGTATACGTATCTATGTACTAAGAGAAATTTGTTTTATATAAAATGGCTGACGTGACAGGGTGCTTTTTAATTGTTTATATCATGTTTTAAATATTTTTAACGTTAAAATATATACAGGTGCATTTTATAAAGAACAACATTACTTAATTAAGGTAATGAAATGAAAACGATAATATACAGTATATTCCGGATATTAGTATGTCCGTTGTAGGATTCGGTGATGAATATACAGGTTCGTTCTTCACCTTCCGGCACGTAATTATATCTTGATTCAAGAGAAAGGTATTTTTTTTTAACTTTTAACATGATATTTATGACTTAAAGAAAAAATATTTTTTTAGGGCGAAACAACCTGGGGCGAACGGGATTTGGGGCGAAACAACCCTTAGGGCGAACGGGATTTGGGGCGAAACAACCCGTTACCCACACCACCGGCACATGTGGAGTAAAAAATCGGCCGAAAAAGGCACAAAAATAATTTTCAACAACAAATAATTGTATTAACAAGGGCAGATGGGTATAAAGCACACACAATGCTCAATAAATTGACTTGACACTCAAACCAAACCGACAAAACAAAGTTTTGGTATGGAGCTAGCTCCAGGCCGTCAGCAGGCAGCAGGCGCCACAAAAGGAAGAGGAAGGGAGATCACTCCGTGGCTCTGTCGTCGAGATATGGGTTACGTCACGGTAGGGAGGTCGAGATATTTGAATATTTTGTTTTTGGGCTACAAAGAGGGGTGTAGGTATTGTTTATGCAACCTAAAGTTATGGATTATTACTGAAATGAAAATCTATATTTCGTAACCTTTAGCCCTGTAAGTATAACGAAAATTAAACGTACTCATAGCTAAAATTGGTGCAAATGGCCTTAAGAAATATGGAGCACCCTGTAGGAACGTTCTAATTTTCTACAGCGTAATCAAACACTTATACTTCGTTAGGCATTTCCCCGTGTCAAATTAACTCTGTATAAGACTGACGTACTCGTTCCTGTCACTAGCTTTCCGACACGCAGTAAATCAGTTCTCATTGGATTAAATAACGGCAATATGTTGAAATGTGACTAATATATTATATTGATTTTTTAAAGGCACAACAAGTCAACTAATTAGCCAACACCACGAACGTATGGTCGATTATCGATGAAATAACTACCAATGTATATGCTGTGTTGATCAACCAGCACAAATCGAAAGTCCCACGAATGAGCTCTTAATTTTAATTGTAGAAGCGATTTTTATAGAATTTTGTTTGCAAATTGCCAGGCGATTTTGGAGCGTTATTGTATTACTTACAAGACAACTTGAGAAACCTGTTCGCGCGAAACAATAGATGATCATAATGATATCTCGGATTTTTTAAATTCTTAACTGTTCATCACTAGAGCAAGCTGTTTATTGGAAGATGTCCTCTAGCGATGCGTTAGGCCATTCCTACATTATACACGCTTATTTGTTACGGAGCGTGGCATGCTTGCGGTGAATTATTACGGTCAACCATCTTGATTAAATTGCTGTATTCAAGTAAAAACGTGACAAATTTTATAATTTAACATCTGCTACAATTTCTGTGCTTTTTACATTTAGAGCTATTTACATTTATTGGCTGTTTTTTTCAACCTTTTAATTTTAAGACTAGTTTGAAGAAACCTATTTTTCATCTCTCCGGGATCTTTTTGTGATACGAAGGTCAATGATTTAGATTTTGCTCTTTACCGAACTTTGTCATTACCCGACTTAACATGGCGGGTGTCATCAATAAATCAGAAGACGCTTTCCCTTCCGGAACACCTGTTCTGATTCTCCTTGTACTTTTTCAAGGGTATCCAGTCAAGTGCCTTTTCGATTTTGATGTTCAGCATTTAGGGTAATGGCAACAACTGGTTTACCCGTTGTCAGTATAATGTGACCGGGCGGAATGCTGTGCTGGGTGCCTTTGGCATTTTATTTCAGTGATATAGCACTATAAAGTCGCCATCAGATTCGCGCTATCACAAGGAGGCAAATACGCCAACATACCCTGTCTCCTGCACATATACACAAGCAAGCATGCATACACAACACACATGGAGGCACGGCCTTAACTGATCTTAGCTGTTGAAAGGATGTTAAACAAAATAAAACCAAACCAAACCTTGCTTGGCAATAACTCACTTTTGACCTTAAAAGTTGGAATTGTTCCCCACTTAACGTTCAGCATTTAAGAAATGGCAACAACCGTTTCACCCGTTGTCAGTTATAAAATGTGGCCTGATGAAATACTATACTGGATGCCTTGGGCATGGTATTTCAGTGAGAAAGCACCAAAAATCGGTATAGGCAAATACACCAGCATACCCTACCCCAGTACACATGCACACATCCAAACATAACAAACATTGAGAAACGTCCTTTAATGACCTTAGCTGTTCATCGGACGTTAAAGTTAATATACCCAAACTAGTTTACAATAATTTTCGTGAGTAAAAGAGCACAAACTACAAGGCAATGTGTATTATTTGTTTTGCTATTGTAATGTTTTACGGCCTGTCGGCGATTCAAGTCATTCATGACCATACTACACTAAAACCAGACGTTTACAAAAGGAATACATCAAACATAAACTTAAATGTTACAATGTTTAAAAATGCGATAAACATTAAAACAAACGAGTTCGTTGAATAACATGATATCATACCTTTATATCTAGGCATATAAAACGGTAATAATAGTGAGCATTGGGATTGTGTATAAAACCTGTTAATGCACCGCATTCGGTTTGTCACATCTCTTACTGCCAATAATGTTTTGAAAAGTATCCTTTGATGCTACACATGCCAAACTATTCTAAAATGCCAACATCGAATACATTTTAGGGCAACCTTAACTTTTATTGACCAACGTTTCAGAAACCACTAAAATACTGTAGCACTTTCCTATGTTAATATCTGTTCAATATATTTTTGTATCTATTTTGAAAGCAAAGCAATCAAAACAGACTTTATTTATGCATACAAGCACAATCAAAATGAAAGCATACACAAACTCCTGACTCTAAGTGAAATTACATGTAATGGTATTTAACAAAGCAGCACCGAACAAGATCCAGTGTATTTATTCATTATTACGCGATAATATGAGGACAGAGTGCAACAGTCCTACTTAAGCTCTTTGAAAAATAGTCCTATTTCCTTTTATCTGCGTTTGTAGCACAGTTCAATCCAGGGTAGGCTATCGTGAGAGCACTATCGATAGCACGATGACATACCACATCGTGTAATCAACGAAAGTGTTCTGTCATTCAAGGTGTGCTGTGCGTTGGATCAACCATCTTATGGATTAGTGGAGTAACTAATAGTTTGTGTTCGTTCAAGGACGTGACGAAATGCGATACAATAGATCAACAGTATTGCAAACATGTTTACACCAATTTGATTATATAAGTAACAATGCTTTACAAACGCCAAAAAGTGTTTAATACCAGTATCAACAGGGGATGTTTGTGTATGGATAGTGAAGGAACATGAGCCATTGATCAACATGTGTATGGATATAATCGCACTTTACAGTATAGGGATTCTTGCAGAGCTTTCAGCGTTTTAGATGTGAAAGTAGATTAAGCATATACATTTCAATTAGGAAAATGTAGAGAACTGCTTAACGTGCGGAAACATCACAGTGTCAGTTATGAAGAGTAACAAAGTTCACCCTAAAAACTCTGTGCATACACTGTCCACGTTTGCTCATTGGGATCCCGAATCTGGCATTTCCTCTGACGACAGTAAAAAGTCCAGGACACGGGTACCGAGAATTTACGTGGTCTCTATGGTAGCTTTCTTGTTCATTGCAGCCGTTTTGATAGCGGATATCTACATAGATTTATCTGAAATTTATATATTTCAGGATATGAGAGTAAAATTTAAGTTAGGTTACGATCAAATATTTGATGTATTGAACATCTTGAAATGTGAACTTGCAACTTCCTTGACAGACCGTTTCAGTGCCTCACTACATAACGAATCGTCATCGTGTGGTATCAATGATAAATACGTCTTACCCTTTCTTAATATAAACCGTGTATGCAACTCTAGTTCATCACAAGGTGACCTTCAAAGTTTATGTGAACTTTTTGACATGTGTCCAATAACAAGTAGCAAGTGCAATATATGTGATACAATGCTGTCTTTACAGACTATAGAGAAAAATGTCGTAAGTACAACGAAAGCTTATATTAACGATTTGTCTATATCAAAATTTGGCCTTCTCCACCAGATGGGAGAATTATTTGAAAGTGAAACTATTTTGTTACTTGATGCCATTTATTGCATAGAACATAATTGTGATACAAATATTTCAGATACATTAAAGTATTATCATACTTCAAAGCAATTCGTGCTAATGGACCTACAAAAAATGCGCCCGTCATTTCCTATCTGGAGTTCGTTAACAAAAGGTAATATATCAATCTCGTCTCGGTGTACAGACTTTCGTAAAGCAGACTTTACATTTCTGTGTTATGTTTACAATATATTTCATTTAAATGAATACCTCGAACAAGAAATTCTGGCACTAAAATCAGCATTTTTATACGAAGTAGATAGTGATGAAGACTCTGACATCATACGTGTTATTATCCGATCCTTTCTATGCGTTTTTATATCTGGAACCATTTTTGTTATTCTCCAACAATCCAGAGCTGTGAACACTAAATTCTATCAGTTTGCCGTCCAGTTAAATGATAAAACGCAGGAACTTGAGCAGAAGAAGAAAGTAACCGAGGAACTTCTGTACCAAATGATCCCAAAGTCAATAGCTCACCAACTACAAAACAAGGAAAAGATCTCGGCAGAGTTCTTTGACGCAGTGACAATATTCTTTAGTGACATTGTCGGATTTACCTCTATATCTGCCCGATGTTCTCCAATGCAGGTTTGAACTTAATATGTAATGTCTTTGGAATGTAATGTGTCTTTTTCATACAGAAATAATTAAGTAATACAGAAATCGTTTTCTTTTTATACAAATGTGTGTAAGACATGTAAACAATAATTAGTATGTTGATAAAGGAATCGGACGCGCATGAATAATCATATATTGTATAATTGTGACAGGTTATCATTTTTGAATTCTTAACGACCCTTCAGCACAGCAGAAGTCATAAGGGCCAAAACAAAGGTTGAAAAAATATGTTAAAAGAGACGGCATCAAACAAACGAAAAGATAAAAAAAACAGTGATTATGGTTAGTTATATTTTTTTAATAAACTAACAGTTTTATTTAGGTAGGTTAGAATTTTAGAGCATCAATACATCGCTCTTATTATTAGATTGCATTGCCTTCAGCTTATAAATATCCAATCATTTTTCGCATCAGTAAATAGCTAATGGTGAAATTGCAAATTTGCACAATCGTTAATAGGGTGCTAAAGTCTTCCAACCAAATTCTAAGATGAGTATTAAACATTGATAGCACTATCCACGCTTACCTATACATAAGTTGGTCAACACACGTTTTGGTTTCTTTAGTGACCAATCCAATGCTATTCACAAATATTTGAGAGGCTTATTTCCTGTATGTAAATAAGACGCCAAACTCTATAACCCAAACTAAAATGTTCAGACTCCAACAATATTGTATAATCAGATTTTAATGAAACTTGGTCAACATTAAAAGCAAAGTTCGAATTCGAGCGAAATTAACCTGTACATGTATACATTGTATCATGATGTAGCACACAGCAAATGCATTAGGACATTGGGTGACACTCTGATCAGTTCCATAGGAATATAGATAACACTTGTGTTGTAATAATTCAGGCCAATTAAGTAACAATAGCTAAGTGAAGGGAATTAATTTTTATATTATTATTTTCAGATTTTTAATTGGAATTCAAATAAAAAATTGTATTTACATCATTCAAGTAGTGTAATGATAAAGTTTGATATTTGGGCGTTAATATTATATTCCTTTTACCACGGTAACAAATAGCCAGAAATACGAAATTAGTCATTTCTGGAACATATCTCATTATCCGTTAAATATTACTTAACAAAACATGAATTTTCTAGAAGTGCCTTAACTATTTGGGTGTTGAATTGTCGACATTTTTTTAAGTTACCATAGAACCAAATATGTTGTTTACCAAGGACATCTCAAACTCACAAAACTTTCTATGTTCATCCATCTAGTTACCTAGCATCCTTGCTTTCGGGAATCAAAAAGAATGCACATGTTGTTACCCATTGCATGTATCGTAAGAGGCGACTTATGCAGAATTGGGGATTTGCTTTTGTACCCTATATTGGAGGACACAAAAGCGACCAAAGTAAATCTGCTACACCAATTGCAATATTTGGGGTATTAATAAAAAAAAATCTACTTCTAATTACCTTTTATTTCCTAGCGCCTTACTTGGCAACACCTTATTTTTGGCTTTTATATTGAACGTTCGCCCAGGCCATGGGTTCTGTCCAGGCCGGGACATACCAAAGTCCTTAAAAATAGTAGTTGTCATGTCCTGCTTAGCGTTCAGCATTTGGGCCAATGACAACTGGTTCACCCGTTGTCAGTTTAATGTGACTTGGCGAAATGCTATCCTGGGTCCTTTGGCATGGTATTTAAGTGAGATAGCACTATAAAGTCGGCATGAGATCCGCACTATCACAAGGAGGCAATTACACCAACAAACCCTGTCTCCGGCATATACTCATACACGCTTACACAACACACATGAAGGCACGTCCTTAGATGACCTTGTTAATAGGACGTTAAACAATATAAAACTAAAACCTAACACTGCCCTCTGCCCCAGGGAGGGCCACACCCTCCGTTTATATATAATTCATAATTTTGTAAAAGAATGCTTAAGACCAAATTGTTGAAATCCCTCATTCGTACAGAAACAAGGATTTCATATTTTGATAGATTTTCTTCTATTTCCCTTGGGGCGTGCCTCTGGAGACGCACGACGGATCAGTTGAGCTAAGATCCCATTCCAAGATGTTCTGAGGGTGTTTGGTTGTTGTTGATAGTTTCGCTGTTACAAGCTATCGTTTGTTGAACATATCGCAATAAACCTTCAAGTTAACTTCATTAAAAGTATATATGCATACATATTTTCCTTTTCGATATTATCATTTTACTTTAGAAAAAAATACGTAAAATATTAAACCTATTTTTTCTAAAGCAAATGTCCAGAACAATTATCAAAACGTTCAATTTAGCAATCTGACACATTGATGTCTCCCCCAATATTTCATGTCCGCAGGTAAAAACATAAATTACAATATCAAATACAATTGTATGGGGCTCTGTGTTTTGCTTCACTTAACTTTTATCTTTGTCTATAGTTTCCTATCCCATCTACACTTGCAATTAAACGTTTTTTAAGCTGACAATGGTCAATGATGACTTACCACAACTGTACATTCATGTACAACGTAAAGCATCAACAATGGTTTGACCTTTGTCATGAAGTGACCAAGCATGGATACAACGGTTTTGGCCAAACCATGACTTCTGTGTGACATGAAACACTCGTAGGTAATTTCTTTAGTTGTTTTTTAGCTTATAAGTTTAGATATCCGTAATAGGCAATCAGTAGTCAAGTATCATTCAAATACATTGTATCTATTTTCTCGATTCCATAGGAACCACGAACAGTTACAAAACAAACATTTAGCCATGCTTTACTAGGGTCAAGCGTTGCTCGAGTGTTTGGTAATGTGTTTTGTCAACCCTTTCATCACTGTCTCCCTACCCTCCAACCTTGAAATGTGTATTGGCTCTCATATTTTCCTCGGCTGGGTATATAATTGCATAAGTCCTGGTTTTGCCGGGAATAAGTGTGTATTGGTAATAGCGTAAAAGTTTTTATCTAACTTAAAAAAGGGACATAAGCAAAACTGTTTACGTAGATAAAGCATGACTATTTTTATCTGTAAAGTATTATGGGCGAAATAATGTACAAGGTAAGGCGATCGTTATATTTTATTCTTTACTTACAAAATATAATATAACATAATATAACACTTACCGGGATAATTTCCTTGGAAAATGTTTCATGTCGATTAATAAACATTTATTACAAGCTTGGCGAATCTTGATACAGCTAGTTTTCAGGCCAAGCAGTGCAAGGTCCGTTGTTTAACATTATGTATTTCCCCTGCAGTCGAACTCTGTTTTGGCTGCAACTCATCAGTTCTTATCAAATGGTTAGATCGAAGAATTGAAATTAGAATAGGTTCCAAATATTTAGTGCAAGTTTTGCATTATGGGAAAGTGACAAGTATGAACCCCTCCCTAAGCCCAAGCCCCTTTTTATTTTGCAAATTCAGAGAGAGAAAAGGCTTTCTGTGTCTTGACCTAAGGGGACTTTGAAGAAACCGAAATTGATAGGTGACCACCATTTTAACACTGAATATCTATATTTTTGGTATTCATAGGCACCCGACCTCATATGACATTTGTCATTGCGAGGAGGTTAACCCCCTAGCATATGTTTTACCATTTCATGATGTTGTTTCCAGTATTTGACAATGTTTTAAATGCAATTAAAATTTAAGACCAGAATAAAAGAGCGTTTTATTTGACTTCATACACAAACCTGCTCAACGAATATACCTGCTGGGTCTGTCTGAAGAATCAAAACCAATAGTAGTCATGTTGTATCCCACTGCAGGTGTATCGCAAGATTGGTTGTATTTGGTTTAGCGACTATTCAATAGCTAAGGTCATTTAAGAACATGCCTCTATGTGTGCAGATTTGGGAGGTTTTTTTAATATCTTCTTAGAGGACACTTAAATGACCAACAATGATATACTGCCCTAATTGCAATAACTCAATATTGTTTTCTTTTTTTACTTGTCTACCATTTCTTTTCGGCGGTTACACCCGAATGAAATGGACCTCTCTTTATGAAATGTTCCAAGTATTTTTGGGCAATAATAATCCAACATACCAAGGCTTTGCTTTACTTACCAGAGAGATGGATAATTATGTAAAGATTCGATACAGTTTTTGTAATAATGTATATCTTATATTGTTTGATAGGTGGTGGAATTGCTGAATAGTTTGTACTCCACTTTCGACATTCGGATAGACACTTACGATGTATACAAGGTGGAGACCATTGGAGACGCATACATGGTTGCCAGTGGGGTACCCGAAAGGAACGGGGACAAGGTAAGATTAAACGAAACACCCGTAAAGATCGGGAATGTAGATGTGCATGTTTTGAGACTAATCACGGGATCAAGATTACTGACAGGTGGTCTTCTAAGATGTTACTCAATGACAACTGGTGGGGTCTTTCTCAGTATTTTTAAGTATTCAAGTTCAAAACAATGAATGAATTGCCCTTTTCCAGAATAATATGACCGGGTCGAATACTGTGCTGGGTGACTTCAACGAGGCAAATACATCAGGATACAGTATTCAGGCTATATACATAGAACCACAGAAGGGGATACAGCAGCCAGCCTTATACATAGAGCCACAGAAGGGGATACAGCAGCCAGCCTATATACACAGAGCCACAGAAGGGGATACAGCAGCCAGCCTATATACATAGAGCCACAGAAGGGGACACAGCCTATATACATAGAGCCACAGAAGGGGAAACAGCCTATATACATAGAGCCACAGAAGGGGACACAGCAGCCAGCCTATATACACAGAGCCACAGAAGGAGGCCAGCCTATATACACAGAGCCACAGAAGGAGGCCAGCCTGTATACATAGAGCCACAGAAGGAGGCCAGCCTATATACATAGAGCCACAGAAGGAGGCCAGCCTGTATACAAAGAGCCACAGAAGGAGATGCATATGAGACAACCAACCTGGGTAACTCTGCATGCTAAGAGGACATTGACGAAACAAAAATTGATCAAGCCCAATGAAACACTTAATACGTATATTGTTTTTTACTTTTCCTATTTCCGTTCACTTTTTAGGCCGTCTGTGTCCGACTGCATATCGTAAGGGGCGACTTAATGTGGGCCACAGAGGAATGCAGTTTGTTTGTCTTCGGTGTAATCTGCTAGGGGGACATTGAAGAAATCAAAATTGATCTGCTGGCCAGTTGCAACACTTGGAATATATATCTAAATTATTTTCGCACTTTCCTTGTCCTTCCTTTCGGCGATGTCGATCTAAGCACATATTTTTCTATGAACGTGGCTGTTGCAAGACGTAAAATCCCAAAGAAACATTAACCATAAACAAATTCACAAACAAAACAATCTTAACCTAAAAGGGAGACACCTTTCGAATCTGTGTCGGATATTAACACAACATTGTTAGAATTCCCATGGTAACGATTACTGGTAGTATTGTAGTGTAGCTATCGAGATTGATGTCGTAAACAATTAACCACGGAATGCATTAGTGATATTGATTTAAGGATTGCACGTAATGGCTTGTACTGTAGATACAAGATTAAAGACGACGGTTTTCTAATCTGTTTTCAGGTCACTTTTGATTATTTATGTGGGAGTGTTTCACGTGGTAATCGGGCGTTTAGTGATTACGCCGGTCGATATCGCGTTTACAGACTTGGGATGTGACAGTTATATTTAATTCGTTTGCAGTTTTTCTAAAATTAAAGTTTTTAACTAAAAGTATGATATTATATATACTCTCAGAAAGGTAACATTCATATATATCATAGATAAAGGCCAAAAAACAATAAAAAGTGAATTCGGAGGAAGAATTAGCCTGCTGTACCCGCTGCGTGTTATCGTAAGATGATTACAACTAACTGTCCCCTCTTCCCTGCAGAAGTGGATAGGGATGGGGTATCCTTTCTGTTTCTGTGGAGACATTGTAGAAAACAAAATGATTGAAGCCCCCATTGCACATTCTGTCTCCTAAAGGGATCTTTATCTTTCTTATTTCCAAATATCTTATCGGCGTAATAAACCGGCTACATCAACAGCAACATTTTGTATCTTTGTAATTACTATTACTTCATTTCTTAAAACCACATTTTTGTCTAGGTGTTGCATGTCCGCCCTAGAAGGAGGCTATGGGTACTGTAATGTTCTCACATCAGTCTGGATATCAGTCTGGACTGATTTACCCGTTGTCCGTATAATGTGCTGTAATGAATTAACCATGCAGGTTCGCAGGAAGAATAGGTTGTATACCCGACAGGTTATCGTAGAAAGCAACGCATGTCTGGCCATCTGCAACACTTCGGTTTTCCTTCTACCTCTTCCGTTTCGGGACATTAAGAAACACAACTGATCAGGTCATATGGACTTGGTTGTTTGAGGACAATACATTTTAAACAAACTTGGTTGAGTGCCTTTGGAATGGTATTTCACTGAGTAAGCAGTCTTAAGTAAACATTCAGACCCCGCGTGTTACACTCCTACAGGTCGGGAACCAAAGCGAATATCCCTTCAGTTAACGACTGCGTGATCGTAAGAGGCGACTTAGGTGGGAATCCCTTGCAGAAGATGTGCTTTGTATTTGTGCCCTCCATTTTGGGACACATAAGCTTCCTAAAATAAATCTTGTGCATCTATTTCAATATTAGGAACGTTTTAACTATATTCTAAATATCTTTTGCCTCCATGTGTTTTTCTCGTCAATTCTTCACGTTTGGCGTTGATGTTGAACGATTCGGTCCCCATACCAGTCCTTAAAAATGATAGATAATTGCTTTCCCTGCTTAAAAACAAACAATCCCTATTGTTATAAAAGGAACCAATAGAAGACTACCCAGTGTCAACACTAATAATTATAATAAAATGCTAATCAAAAGTGTGTAACATTAGAAGCGAAAAGGTTTGATAATGATGCTATGTGGCTTCTCCACGTTACATTCGTGCTCAACGATTCATTCGGGGATTTTACTCAGCTTACAATTAACCAAAATGTGTCTGCTGTTCAAAATAGAACATATATTACTTTTCCTTCTACAACTTCTTTTTGGTGGTGTTTTCCGGGGGACCTTCCGTTAGATCGCTATTAGACAAACATAAGATGTCAGTGTCATCTTTACAAGGTCAAGGTGATGACATTTTAAAGAGACGACAAATAGCCAAAAGAATCCCTAAGTGTGAGCAATACCGAATTCGAAATCAAATATAAACAAAGCAAAGATGTACAGTGCAAGGAGAATAAGACCAGGTGTTCCAGAAGGGCAAGCGCTTCTTGCTACATCGACGACACCCGCCATGTGAATCATCGTGTTCAAGTAAGAAGCGACGCAAGGTTAACGAAATACCAAGGCACAGACATGAGCATAATCAAACATAATAAAGTGATGTAGAAGTGTAGGTAGTGTCGTTGACCAATGTGGTGGATACAGTATTGTTATTTAAAGACGCACATCGTCGATACATCAATACTGAAATGAAAGGAATTTGCAATCATTCTTGTAGCCAATCATAATAAGCTCCAATAGAAATAAATACCTAGAGTCTGTTGAATAGTTTTAACAATCGAACTCAACAAAGAAAGTGTCAACCAGGATTTCTTCGTTCTTATGATGTCATCCTCAGTAAAGATGTCATCCTCAGTATATTTCATATTTGCATTTGTCTTACAACACATGCTCAAAAATGCTTCACAGCCATATATTCAATTTCGCTGCTGGCATCTTCTGTAAAGGAAAGCTTCTGTAATAGGTGAACGACGGCGTTACTTCAATTTGGTATTAGGTATGGTAGAGTGGAAAGTCATATGTCCTGAAATGGAGAAACATTTTGGAGAAGCTGATCAAGACCGATTAAAGGGTCTTTTGAATTCTTCGAAATCCACATTCCAGGAATTTAACTACTGGAGTAAAATACAATACCACTATCACCAGATTTAATGGTATCAGAGCTAGCGAATGAACGTTGCTTATAAGGGATTCATGTGAAGTTTGGAATCAAATAAGATCGAGGAAGATCCGAAGAAGTGTGATAAGCTAATATTGCTTCTTTCTAGAAAATGGAAAATGTATATGTAGGATTTCCTTTGTTACCAAGCAAAGCTAGTTAATTTTGCGAGAATGAAGACTAAGTGTTTTTAGACAAAGACTTATTAATTATATAATTTGCCTCCCAAGGCAGTTACCAGCGTTTAGTGTGGTTCAAAATCAGGGTCAAGAAATACAGGCATGTTTGACTTCGGTACGACCTTAGCTGTTGAGAGGACACTTAAACCTCAGAGGTACAGAAACCGTCTATTGTCATTTAATATAATATCTTAGTAAGGGCAGGATTATAAATATGAATACATAAGTTATGATAAAGACTGTTACGTAAACACTGATATATAATAGTGTGAATGACAGTAAAACATAGAAGAAAAGGAAACCTGAATGTGACAAATAACATGTTCATGAAATGCTACAAATAACAGACATTTTCGTATATTTCGTACTCAGACCTAGTTTCTTCTTCAAAAATTGATTTTTTAAACGATATATTCGCGTGCTTGACGTTTGGAAACGTCATCGCCACGCTTGCCATCGTGGTGTAGTAATTAGTACTAAGTAGTCGTGCTGTTTATTGGAGGGTGCATTTTTGTAATTAGGGATACTTATTTGTGTCAATGTACGAACTTATAATGATCACATTACATTTCAGTACTCGAGTTACCCTAATGGTCAAACAACAATTTGGTTTTTCTGATCTTTTATCTGAACACTTTTTGTACTAAACATCCTAACAATAGTGATTTTGTTTGATCTCTTGCGCGCTACGGTTGGTGGCATGTGGTTTTACGATGCTGGGATTAGTTTTCTCTGACAAGTGTTATTTTTAAGGACTGGTGTTCTAATGAAAAATCACCTGATGCGAAATTCGTGTTAATTAAATATAAATAAACGCTGAAAGAATATGTATATCTACTTAAAGAAGTAGTATCTTTCATTCCTATGAGTTGGTCCTCTTGTGCTTTTTATTGGATAGCAGGTTTGCCTCGTATTGGCCTAAAACAAAATCTTAACCAATTTATCGTGTGACCTGCTTAGGGCCTAGGGCTGCAATATTTGATATCTTTTCTTATCCGACTTTATTACTCTTCCTTTTAAGAAGACCTTAGTTCTAACGAATTATACTATGTATTGAGATGTTATTGTATAATTGTAGCACGCCGAGGAGATCGCAACTATGGCCATAGATCTACTGGCAGCTATAAAACAGGTGAAGGTGCCCCACACCAATTCCGACCACGTCCAGATCAGGATCGGATGTCATACAGGTAGGCGACTGACCACCATCAAATAATAACATATCTATACAGGTAAGCGACTGACCACCAACAATTAAAAACATAATTATGCAGGTAAGCGACTGCCCACTAACAATTAATAACATAATTATACAGGTAGGCGACTGACCACCAACAATAAATAACATAATTATTTGGTACAGTGTAAGTGACTGACCACCAACAATTAATAACATAATTATACAGGTAAGCGACTGGCCACCAACAGTAAATAACATAAGTATACAGGTAAGTGACTGACAACCAACAGTAAATAACATAATTATACAGGTAAGTGACTGACCACCAACAATTAATAACATAATTATACAGGTAAGCGACTGACCACCAACAATTAATAACATAATTATACAGGTAAGCGACTGACCACCAACAGTAAATAACATAATTATACAGGTAAACGACTGACCACCAACAAATAACAACATATTTATACAGGTAAGCGACTGACCACCATCAAATAATAACATATTTATACATGTAAGCGACTAACCACCAACAAATAATAACATGTTTATACAGATAAATGTTTGACAAAGTAAATACAAATTGTTCTACTTGTGTTTATGAAGCTAAGTATCCGTTAATAAGGTCAATCCTCAGAGAAAAGGTTAGCTGTACCATTCGATTTTATATAATATTTATATATAGATATTGACGTTATTTTATAGTCGAGTATAATATTACTGGTCGGAGTCTTCCGCTGGGTTCCCTCGGCATCGTCCTCGATACTCCAGGTTTTATGCTTACTTACGCTCTCTACACCCCTGGAATATGTCATAGCAAAATTGAAGGCACGAAGATAGCAGTTTGATTGGTCTCAGGTTAAAAAACCCTGACCAATCGCTAGGCTGATACCTGTCCTTTGCAGATTACAAAGGAAAGACCTCCGACTTCAAAGCCTGTCATTTTTTACCGTGACGTGACTGCGATATTCTTTTGATGTACATCAAAGGATCGAACTAGTCTTCTTGTCTCATCAACAAGGTGGCGCACACTGAGCCTTCAATTTTGCTATGACATATTCCAGGGGTTTAGAGAGCAATAGTGAGCGCAACCTCTAGATATCGAGGATGTTTCGGCATGTTATTTCAGTGAGGTAATACTCTAAGCTTGGCATCATATTTGCGCCTTCGCAGAGACACAACATACGGTCTCCAGCATACATATGCATATAAACACATTTGATGCGTCCTTCAATGACCATAGCTGTTAATTAGACGCCTAACCCAGTCAATCCTAACAAAACCAGCACTACGTTGCTTTTCTTAATTACCGTAGTTATAGGAATATTTCTTTAACTCAACTTCGAAACCAAAAAATCAATATAGCAACTTTGAATCTGTACTATTGACGCTTCCTCCGTGTCGTTGTTGTTGTTTATATTGATTTTCGATTTTGCTGATGTGTCGAAGCTATGGTCAACACCTATTGATTTTTCTTTATTGGCATAAATATCAGAATGTTGCATTTACGAGGTCGAAGTCAAAAGGTCAATAAAGCAATCAGGGTCATTCCTGTTATTGCCTCCTAAATGTTCCCAGTTTTGTTTCCCGTTTTTTATTTTCTTTGTTGGTATAGTTTTATTTCTGTTTCTGTGTTTCTTTGTTGACGCTATGGTGTAGTTTTATTTCTGTTTCTGTGTTTCTTTGTTGACGCTATGGTGTAGTTTTATTTCTGTTTCTGTGTCACGAAGTAAAACACACTATAAATATTAGACACGAGCGTCGCTAATGCCGTGATTTCTCTGAAGTCTCGTGTACAAGGTTGGTCACCACGTGCGTGATCACGAGATTGAGGGATTACCACTTCATTAGTTTGATTGGGCCATGATTCTTATTTGTCCTTAATTATTTTTTCACAAAACAAGAAAACAAGCTAAAATCTAATTCATTAATCATGTTTTGTAGAGACAACGTATTAAGGCAAGTACTTCCAGCTATGTTTATGATGTTCATGACAAAAATGACATTTACCCAATTACTTAAGACTTATTCCTGAACAAATGATTTGTTTATTTATTATTTATTATTATTTTCCCCTCAGATTGTGTGGTAGCATTCACTTTTAATTCACCCGGTAGAGAACATAAAAGAAAATCAAATAATTTTCTCATGAACGAAAATGTCCCCTTCGGTCTTGTTCATAAATAAAACACCTTATCATGTTAGAATTTGAAGCAATTTTATTTTGGTGCATGTTCATATGTGTACTATATACTTGGTGTTATTCAACATTGTTCCTATATTCTGAACAGTTTAAACTCCATGTCTCTAAACAAATCATCTGATAACTTGTATTGAAGTCAGATCAAAATATGAATCCATTCATGGCCAAAAGTGATCTATGTCATGTTTCGTAATTTCGTCTTTTTATTTCTTTCAATCGTTATTCTGACAAATGGTTAACCAGCTGTTGTTGTCCTACCTTGTTCTGTCCTAAATGCAGGTAGTTTAACAGAGTGGGACTAGGTGATATACTTTGCTAGGATGTCTATTCGCTGAACAGGACAGAGCCATCTTTATTTGTGTCTATATATTTAAAGGATACCCTGTAATATGAGCATTTCTTTGTTTATAAGGCGCATGTGTAGCTGGCGTGGTCGGTCTGAAGATGCCTCGTTACTGCCTGTTTGGGGACACGGTCAATACAGCATCGAGAATGGAGGCAAACAGTCAACGTAAGTGATTGATTAGGTTTGTTATAATGTACAGTGATTTTCGATAAGTGATTGATTAGGTTTGTTATGGTGTACAGTGATTTTCGATGTAGCAAATAGTCAACAGGTGCGTGTATTATGATGGGGCATATAACGAGGGTGGCAAATATTGGAAAAATAAGAAACCTTAACGCGTTATCTTGGAACGCCAATTGAAATTTACAAATCCATTTGGAAATTCCATTTGGTATAGAAAATCTAATTTCTTTTTTTTCTTATTCCCATTTCTCAGCATCCAGCATATAAGTTTTTATACGCAGTCAACATTTCCCCCATGACGTAGTATAGTACGGGGAACATTCATCCATTCACACTATGATTTCTGCAACATATAGGTAGATTTTGATGCAACTTTGTCGGGTTAAAAATACGCCAAGAAAAACGAGCAAAAATGCGACGTTCTAAATGGACAACGTCCATACTTGAGTTTCCGCAAGGACACTTGCTTAAAAAGCTTTTAATTTTACTGAATTTTCGTAAGCATGTACAAAACAAAGGCTAAGTTCGAAGTTGAACAAAATCTGCTTATAATGGATGGTCGGAAGTTGCAGTAGATAGCGCATTCGCCTTTCATCACGACGACCGGGGTTCGATACCCTGATCTGACTTGAAAAGGCATGACGTCGCCTTCCCCATCACATGGGTTTTCTCCGGGTACTCCGGTTCCTCTTACATTAACACTCACTGTTGCTTCCATCCGGGCCACCAAGAGTGATTAAAATAATTTGGAAAAAAATCGTTTCATATTGGTAGTAAAATACAGGTTATAAATAATAATCAACTTGCAACATGATAACAAAAAACATCCCTTTGATTTTAGATTGGTCGGTACCTGTTTGTACATTCCGATTTTCATTGCTGAAATATATATCTAAATATAAGTACAGATATAAAACTAGAACCAGTATATAAAATGTATTATTATATTAACAAATTAATCCATATTATTTGTATATCGCCAGCATTAAAGATCCATATCAGCAAAGATACACGGGACAAGCTTGAGGCTACCGAACGGTACACGATGGAACACCGCGGATTGATAGAAATTAAGGTAACAATTATTTTCTACTTCGTCAACTGACAATACATAGCTGAAATAGGAAAGTAAAATAACAGTCCGTTGATTTGTATCTCGTATGTTTGCAATTCGTGTAGATTTTTCTGCACACAGGAAACTAATGTTTATATAAAGGCATTTGTAAAATGAAATATCTCCATGTCAAACAATTCAGTATAGACACTAAAAGGCTAGTGCAACATGTAAGGAAACAGTAGAACCTTGACATAACATGCCCTCGTTTCCATTGCCCCCTTAACCGCCAACGTATTTCAATGTCCCATGTTCTCATTTTTTTACGAATTCCTTAATAAACTTGCCTCAATTTATTGCCAAACCCACCAACCTCTCTCAGGACAAATGTAGGCATCATAACGAGGTTTTACTGTATGTTATTGCAATTATTTATCTTAAGTTGCCCGCTTTTATATCAACCTAAACAATCGAGAATTGAAGTGATGAAGAATACCAACATGTGTTCCGATATCATCAATGTCTGATCCAATATTCCATACTAATACATTCTGTACAGGGGAAGGGACAGATGAATACGTACTGGCTGACCGGGCGACGGGACATGGGAGAGGCCAACGAGAGTATGGTCTGTAAGTGGAGGCCACGCAAGAAAAAGACGAAAAAGCTGGACAGCTCCTTGACTGTGGATGAGTCGACTACATCGGTAGAGTCGTCTCGATTGGATATTCAGTCCGACTTAAGTTCACGGACCACAGACGACGATGACAATATCACGACAGGAAGTACAGTTTTAGTGAAGGGAAATATGTGCGAAATGAAGGCTGATTTAAAAAGCGAAAAATCTCAATTAAATGACGTTGAGAATGTATCGGCGGCCTCTACACAAAACGAGCCAAAGGATGAAAGTATAAATCTTAGGGATACCGATAATGCAGTAATATTATTGCCTAAAGAGGACATATCACCAGTGTTGAGTGATGTACAGATTCAAGTCACTGAAGCGTCATCTGACGGGATTCCTGATACATCAAGTTACACTTGTGAACCGGAAACACGTAATTCTTTGTCGACCTCGAACGACAGCGTTGAGCAATCGCCCAACATCGTTAATGAAATTAAAGGCCAAAGCGATGAGCATTGCTTAGACGAAACAACAACAGACATAGCAGGTAATCCAGCAGAGGACGAAACGACAACAGACCTAACATGTAATCCAGCAGAGGACGAAACAACAACAGACATAACATGCAATCCAGCAGAGGACGAAACAACAAAAGACATAACATGTAATCCAGCAGAGGACGAAACAACAACAGACATAACACAAACAACTTCACTGTCAACAAATAAGAGCTGTCCGTCACTAGACAATGCCGTCCATCCATTAAAAACAATATACGAAGATATTATCACTGTGGAGCCCTATACATATACAGACGTCCAAACCAATGACGGTTTGGCCGAGTGTCAATTCAAACAATGACAATTGTTATTCTCATAAACAATACAGTTTAGAGAATACATATATACGAATGGGTGGCAATAATACATGGTGGATCAGGATGGACATTAGTATTGTAAATTAATTATGTCATTAATATTGGTAATAAATTTAGCCAATGATGTCAATTCATGTTGTGAGAAGGCTAACGTCACGGATGATGACAAAATCTCGGAGCCAATCTAATGAATTTGGCAACAAAATAAAATAGTTCGAAACAAAACATGTTTTGATAAAGACCAAAACAATAATTGCTGGAATTGATTTAAAAAACAAGACAGGAATGGCAATAGTACAAATGTAACTATGTTAGAATGAGTGGATATATATAACCGTCAACGAAGTTGCATCAGAATTATTACTTAATTAAAAACCACACGATATATATGAAATTGTGTTTCTATTCCTTCAACATTAGTTGGCTGTTTTAAATTTCGTTTAAAGTCTTTATATATATGTATATATCTTGTTCAAGAATCACGATAAAAAATATTAACATGAGAACGATCAGGCAAACTCCATTCATATCAGCTCGTCATTTACTAAGCAAAACAAAAGTGTTTGTCCATCTTATCAGTGCAATTCAAGTTGATTCAATACCTAGCTTCCTTAAATAAGATGACTCTGCTCCCCGCATATTTATAAACTTTGAAATCCATTCATGAAACTGTAGCTGAGATATACTGCATAAATTTCTATTACGCAGTATTTGTGCTCTTACGGTAAAGATCAAAGATCAGAATGAGGTCACAGCAACTTCATGTAAGATGTGACATGAACACTGCCTAATCGTGAACATTCATGAAACAGCAATTAAGGTATGTTCTGAAATGAACTATTTTAGTTCGAAGGTCACGGTCATAATACAAATCAGTGTCCTAGTATCATCAGTTTCATGACTACAAAGTTTGATGCCCATTCATGAAACAGTGAAATATGCTTTGAAAACCATTTTTATTATTGAGGTCAAGGTCAAATCTATGTCGCAATTGTTTTATGATTCGACACACGGTCTTCCCATGATGTACCTTTATATGTAAGTTTGATACCCATCCATGACACTGGCTGAGATATGCTCTGGAAACCAAAGTCATCACGGAATGATTGACTAAACGAATACTATATATCCCAGACTTCGGTCGAAAAGGAATATAACAAGAGGCCCAATGGGCCTGCATCGCTCACCTGGTATAAAACTCACACTTGTAACCTTAAAAGTGATCTAAAATAAAGCTACAGGCAAAATATCAGTATTTATGATTAAAATTCGTTCTAAAGACCCTGTTATTATTTTTTTAAACATTTCACCCCTGTGATTGAAAGTCGAACAAAGTCATTATGTTGAACACATTGTATAGCCTTTCATCTCAGGATGCAACTTGCAAAGTATAAACATCCTGGGACCCATGGTTATTCATAAGAGGTTGTTTAAAGATTTTAAACAAATTTGACCCCTGTGACCTTGAATATAAGTCAAAGTCATTCACTTTAACAAACATAGTAGTCCTTGATCCCAGCATATGCTACTAACTAAATATCAACATCCTGAGCCTTTTGGTTATTCAGAACAAGTTGTTAAAATATTTTAAACATATTTGCTCCTTGTGACCTTGAATATGATTCAAGGTCATACATTTAAACAAACTTGGTAGCCCTTGATCCTAGTATGCTACTGACTAAATATCATCACCCAGGGCATTTTGGTTATTCAGAAGAAGTTGTTAAAAGTTTTTAACATATTTGACCCCTGTGACCTTGGATATGGGTGAAGGTCATTTATTTGAACAAATTTGGTAGCCCTTCATCCCTGTTTGCTTCTGGCCAAATATCATCACCCTAGGCCTTTCAGTTATTTAGAAGTCGTTTAAAGTAAAATATTGACGCCGGACGACGGACGGACGGACGACGGACGCCGCACCACGGCATAAGCTCACTTGGCAGGTGAGCTAAAAATGAAACGGTGTCATCATATCAACTTCGTCTGCTGGATAACATAATTTTCTATTCGATAGTGAAGCAGACGTTAAATCACTCAAATAAACAAAGAACAAACAAAATGAAATCATTAAAATGAACCATTTTGAACAAACGAAATGTAGCCTAAGGATGATTGTATACGATAAGCTTAAATTCCAGGTAAAAAATATTTTTTTAGGAAATCGCGAAAAAATTACACAAACTTTTGATTACATACCGTAAGTCATCATGAGTTACTCCCCTTATCAGATCAGGTATTCAGAAATGAGCTGAGTGAAAACGGGAACATAGAGGTTCCCGACCGAGTGATGGCCGATTATCATGTTTATCTAACTCGAGTTATTGGATTTACGAACTTTATAAAGGTTTTCCAAGTGTCTTTTACACATCGGAATTTAACAAACGAGAGTTAGATAAACATGATACCCAACCATAACGAGTTTGGGACGTTTCTCTCCCAAAACATTCAGATAGTTTAATGTTTCTGTTGGGAATACATGTATCCTGTTTCTGACCAGGGAAACAATTGTCACGAACTATGACGTCACAATGGAAGATGACGTCGCAAAAAGCTGTTATACTTGACATCATTATTAGAACAAAAAATGTTCACCAACACCTAGCAAGAGTAACAATTGAGCGGAGAGAGACCTGCATTCGGCAACTCGATTTCAAATGTTTACACTAAAATGTAGCACTCTAACCGTCTGAGCTACTTTTTCAACAGAAGTGTCCTGACCAAACTGTGCTAATTGAATCCAAAACGAAATTAAGGGAAGGTAACTGTTTATAAAGCTTACATGAGTATGACACCATTGGAAAATGCTCCTGGTTATTCAGAATGAGTTGTTTGAATATTTCAATATATTTGACAACTGTGGCTTTTAAAGAAGGTCAATGTCATTTATTTAAGGGAAATGTATAGCACTCCATCCCAGGTATATACTGGCCAAATATCATGACCTTAGGTCCCCCAGAAGAAAAAGTGGACTGATTACGGACAATTCATCATATATTATGCTCACAGGCACTTCGTGCAAGGTGAGCTAAAAACCAGTGGGACAGGGACCTTTAACAATTTCATGCTCATCATTCCGCATGAAGCTTAAGTCTGGATCTTGTTAAAATAAATAAATAAATGTTTTATTCATAAGTCAGATCAGGGTACATACATTTTCAGTTTACGTGCGATCAGCTCAATAAAAAGCAACAGCCAAAAATCTGCAAAAACCGTGATGTCGTATAAGTGTGTCTTGTTCCGCATACTTGTATTTTTTGTCAACGTCATGGAAACTTGTCACATTCTATGGTCAGGTTATGATATATTAATTCCAGTTTGCAGGAACAATGGTTATTGAATGAATGTCGTTGTAAACTGAAAATATGTAACTGTATGAAAACTTTTATCAAGAGGGTATTATTATCTAACTTCTAAATTGCCTTAACAACAAACCAAATATAGAAAAATATATTAATTTAAGCAAGAGGCCCAGGGGGCATGTATCGCTCACCTAAATATTTACGCAGTCATAGCAAAATATTCTCATTAAATATTATACTGTACTAGAAATATTTCATTCACAAACTGTGTCGGCTCCATCCGTTGAAGCTTCCAGCCAAATATTATCTTATGATTCTATGCTTTTTGTTTTTTTCTTCAGAGGTTGTTTGGAGTGTTTGACATATTTGTCCCAGTGACCTTGGAAGTAGGTCAATGTCATTTTCCTTCTCAAAACTGTGTTGGCTCTGCTAAACAGCTTTCAGCCAAATCTTATATGAATCAACTGTTGGTTCTTCAGAAAAAAAGTTTGAAAAGTTGTTGACCTCTGTGACCTTTAAAGTAGGTTGAGGTCATTTTCATTTGCACACTTTGGTGAGCTCTATCCTAAGAAGCCACTAGCCAAATATTATGATTCTATGCCTTTGGATTATTCATCAGTCATTTGATGATTTTGCTATATTTGACCTCTTTACTTTGAAAGTAGGTCAAGGTCATTTGATTGGCAAAATTTGTCGTTCTCAATCCAAAGAAGTTACTAGCCAAATATTAAGATTCTATGCCTTTGAGTTCTTCGGAAACGGTCATTTGAAGTGTTTGACCCTTGTGACCTTGAAAGTAAATTCAGGTTATTTTCATTCGCAAACTTCGTCAGGCTCCATCACAGGAAGTTACCAGCCAGATATTAAGAGTCTATGCCTTTCAGTTCTTCGGAAGAAGTTGTTTCAAATGTTTGACATATTTGACCCCTGTGACCTTAAAAGTAGATCCAGATTATTTTCATTCTAAAACTTTGTCAGGCTCCATCACAGGAAGTTACCAGCCAAATATTAAGAGTCTATGCCTTTCAGTTCTTTGGAAGAAGTCGTTTTAAGTGTTTGACATATTTGACCCAAGTGACCTTGAAAGTAGGTCAAAGTCGTTTTCATTCTCAAACTTTGTTGGGTTCCATCCCAAAAGGCTACCAGCCAAATATGAAGTAGGTCAATGTCATTTTCATTCTCATGTCAGGTTGCATCCATGGAAGCTACTAGCTGTATATTATAACTCGATACTTAAAGATTTTTCAGGAGAAGTTGTTTAACATATTTGACGCCAGTGACCTTAGTACCTTAGACCTTAGAAAGTAGGTAAAAAGGTCATTTTCATTCTCAAAATGTGTCGGGATTCATCCCAAGAAGCTATCAGCCAAATATGAAGATGCTATACCTTTCAGTTCTTTAGAAGAAATCGTTTGAAATTTTGATACATTTTACCCCTGGACCTTAAAAGTAGGTCAAGGTCATTTTCGTTCTAAAACTTTGTTGGGTTCCTAACAAAGCTTTCAGACAAATATCATTACTTTAGGCCTGTCCATTCTTCAGAAGAAGTTGTTTAAATGAAAATTTGATGGGTGACCGACGGGCGAAACACGCCGCACCACCACATAAGCTCACTTGCCCTTTGGTCAGATGCGTGGTTATTTTGAAATTTCACTTATTCTTAAATGTTTCAGTAAATAATAAAA